ATTTGGAAAAATTCAAATAAATTTTGTTCAAAAAATTAGTGTTAGAACCGACCCGACCCACAACTACACCCAGCTCGGCCTGACGGGCGGTGGCGGCAGCACGTGTGTGGTGGTTTGGGCTAAGGTTCACTTTGTTCATTACTCCTCCTTTCTACAAACTTGGGGTGCCACTTGAGGCCAAACCCAAGTGTTGCCACCTAGAACTTATATACATACATAAGTTCTCTTCAAGTTTTAATGCGGGACAAACCTTTCAAGGAAACCCACATTTAATTCTTTAAATGTTCAATTCCACGAACCCGAAAACGACGTCAAGTTCCCAGTCACTCATAAATGGTTTTGACGAACCATCTTCACTGTGTAACTTTTCATGCTGCAAGGAACATGTCACCTCTTCGGACCCACCCCAAAAATCGTTTGGGGCCCACTCAATTTTGGGCTCAAAGTTGTCCCAAAATAAGCCTTGTAAAACCAAATTTTCTAACAACCTCCGTGGTGGTACTTATAAAATAATTACTCCAAACACATTTTAATAAACAGTTATATCCATGGGTTTTCCTTAGTATATAAAATAAGGTTCATAAAATAAATAATATAATTAAAACACAATTTACGTAAAATAAATTATGGTAATTCAAAACATACATAAAATATATTATAGTGACTGAAGGTATAATATAACTCACCTTAAAATTAGTACCTCACTTTTTCTTCTTTACTTCTAGTATTTCTTCCTCTTCCCTTACTTCTGTTTTTCCTTTTCCCCACATCTTGAGCAAATCCCTCCTTTTATATATAAGGGCAAGCGTGGGCATCAAGCCACACAGCTGCCCACGCGTCCCATTCCTAATCCTTAGCCATTAATTCATGTTTATCTTGATCTTCCTTTCTTTCTTATTTTTTATTTTTTTAATATATAATTCACTACACTTTATCTCATATTTTATTTTTACGAAATATTTAATTAAACATTTAGAGTTTTTCTCATTTATAATTAAATAATACTAATATAAAATTTAAATAACAACTTAAATTTTCGGATTATTACAGCTAGACTATGAGAGATTTGTTGCGAGAGGATGTGACGATTATTGGAAATTTCTTTGGGATATATATGAGTGTGGTGGTTGAGGACCTTAGACATAATAAAATAATATTGTGGATCTTTCTCCTTTATTGATGCGAGTGCTTCTGCCTCCACCCACTTTGTGAAGTAGTCTGTTGCTGCAAGAAAGAACTTTTTGTTGCCGGGTGCCGTTAGAAGTGGTCCTACTGTCCTTTGGGCATGCTTTGTTGACTGTCTTGTAGTCGACGCAGACACGCCATTTGCCATTCTTTTTTGGTATCACGACTGTGTTGGAAATCCATCTTCTTGAGCTTGCACGGTTTATGTTCTGCACATTTCGAATTTAAAAGCATGTTTTAAATCGACTACTGTGTAGATAATTAAGTTTCAACATATTTTGGGATCTGTTCATTTTTTAAGCTTGGTTTGAATTAGACTAGATAAGTTTATATATACTTTGATACTATGTTTGGTTGGGGATTTGAATATGAAAGAGAGACCTTAGACTAATTTTTTCTAAAATTAAGTGAACTAAAAGGGGGGGAAAAATAGAGAGAAAAATAAAAATGGGAGAAAATAAAAAAAAAATAAAAAGAAAACAAGAAGGAATGTGGGATCATGGAAAGATGGGTGAGAAAAGGAAAAAGTAGGAGAGAGAAGCGGAAAAGTAAAAAATGTACATGTAGAATATTTTTTAAAAAATATATCTCAGCTAGTGCTTTATAATTTGAACAGATCTAAACCATCTAAATGTCCTACTAGAACAAAAATATGTTGAAGATTTAAAAACTCTCTAACTTTATTATATAGATATATTCTTACTTTTTTTCAATATAATTTTTACATATATAGCAATATTTCATTGGGTAGTGGTTAAAATTTTCTTTTTGAAATTATGAATGAAATTAATTCTAAAAATTATTAATTTCAACTCAATCCCATTGTTAAAATTTAAAAACCTAAAACTTATTTATTTTTTTAATTTTTCATTATTAGATTGATTTCAAAATAATAAATAAAAAGATTGGGCTATCTCAAATAGGAAGCAAAAATATTTTATTGATCATAATTTTTTTATTTAACTAGATGAAAATACGTGAGAATGTGCCTGTTTGGTGCAGTTTAAAAGCTGCTTATTTTAACTTTTAACTTAATTTAAGCTATTTTGATGTGTTTGGTTTAGCTTAACAATGCAGCTTATAGTTTTTTTGTAAGTCAGAAATCAGTTTATTCTTTGAGTGGGGCAGGAGATGCTTAATTTATAAGTCAGAAATTAGCTTATATTCATAATTATAAGCTATAAGGTGTTAAGGTATAAGTTATAAGCACTTTCCCACAACTCTACCAAACAGGGCCAATACCTCTTAGTCTAAATGACAATTAATAAAAAAAAAAAAGCAAAAAAAAAAAAGGGGGATCATTCATGTCTTTACCCCGGGCAATGGAATAATTGTTTATCAAAATAGCTAATACGGCACCGTTGAAGGTGCGCAGCAACTGCTCCTGTGCTTAACGCACAGTAACATCTCCAATCTTGAGGGGGAGTGTACATAATCTTCCTCGTACAAAAAATAAAAGCAAATTCACGTGGGATGAATGCTACCCGGCAACTCACAATCATTAACTACCCGCAATATCAGTTACGCATTCATTGGCTCTGCCCCCATTGGTAGGAATGTATTTGGTGGTGACCTTTGGTAAGATTTTAGAGCATAAGTTTTGAAGGCTTAGGTTTCATTCTTCTTGGGTTAGTCATCCGGATCGTATCACATATGATTCGTTGGATGAATCTTTCGAGGCAGGATAAATTATACTATTAAAAGTGTGAGTTCAAATCTCTGCTTATGTGTGAGTCTGTAACTTATTATGATTGAGTAATTCTATTACTATTTAAGGTTATCTTATATGATTAGACCTTTTATTTAGTAGTCTTCGGCTACAATCACCTAGTAGCCCCGTTTGATAAAACTGTGGAAAGGTGATTATAAATTATAACCTAACAGATTATAATTTACAGCTATGAATCTAAGTTGGTAATCTGTTTGGTGCAGCTGTGAGATTATGAATTTAAACAGCAGAGTAGTGTTTGGTAAATAAGCTGTAAAATAGGTTTTTGTTGCATAATTGTTATTTTTGCCCTTATAAGATATAAAATTTGTGATTTCATTTATAATATATTTTTTTCTTTTTCTTTTTCACTTTATTTTATTTTATTTGCTTTTTCGCCTTATTTTCTTTTCTTTTTTTTTAATTTTTTTTCTTCTCTTCTTTCTTTGTTAATTTTGTTTAATTTATTAATTCTTTAAAATTAATTCATGTTCTAATTTAAATTAATGTTGCGATTTCATTACATATTATTTTTTGTATATTCATTTTAATTATTTATATCTGTATTTATTTTCTTTATTATTATTATTTTATTATTATTAATTGTGATTTTAGTATAAAAATTATCAATTTGCTCATCAATTATTAAAATTAGTATCAATTATTAATTATTATTATTATTATTATTATTAATAATTTGTTCATCAATTATTAAAATTAGTATCAATTTGTCCATCAATTATTATTATTTTTCATATTATTATTACTCTTTATTATTATTCATTTTAATTATTTTTGGTGATATTTCATTTTTTTCATTTTTAGTAATTCATTTTTTCATTTGACAAATCCTTACATTTTTTTCAATTTATATCATTTTTTTAGTGATATTTCATTTTTTTTCATTTTTAGTAAAATTATTTTATTTTTTCATTGTAAATTAATTAGTATCAATTAATTGCTTAAGTAGCATCAATTAATACTAAAATTATTAATTAGTATCAATGCTTAATTAATGGCTAAAATGGCTAAATTATTATTGATGGCTAAATTATAAAATGCTTAATTATTATTATTATTATTATTTAAAAAAAAAAACTGAAATCGATCGTCACCGTCGACGGTTAGGGTTTCGATCACCGTCGAAGGCACAACGACGATGGGGGATGGGGACGACGACGGACCATTGATTGTCACGCAGTCGATCATGACTCTAGGATTTTAGATCGCGATCATTACGCAATTGACGATTAGGGTTTCGATCATCAACGTGATGGTGGTGGTGACGAGAGAACGAAGAGAGAGGGAGAGAAGAAAGCTCTAGTTCGTGAGTATGAGAGAGATAGAGAGCACTGGTTCGCAAGAGAGAGAGAGAGAGAGAGAGAGAGAGAAAGAGAGAGAGAATGAACAGTGAATGAACCAGATCTTGCCAGAAATCGCCCCTCGTTGGAAATCGCCTCTCTCTCTCTCTCTCTCTCTCTAAGAATGAACAGTGATTATTTTTGTATTTTATATAATGGCAATTATATATAATACTTCAAATGAATAAAGGGCATTTAAGTAATTTTGCCCCCTCAAGTTTAACTTCCCACTTAAGCTGAATGAATAAGCACCCTAGAAGCCACTCAGTCAAAAATCACTTTTTTGGCTTAATTTAAGCTACAAAAAGTGATTTTAAACTCTACCAAACACATCAATTGTAGCTTAAATTCAACTAAAAGTTGAAATAAGTACCTTTTAAGTTATACCAAACAAGACCTATCTCAGGTGATAATGATTAGTTAAAAGGTTAAGATTTACAGTATTATGTTAAATAATTAGAGAACAAGCATAAAGAATTGTGATTGGTCCAGGCAAATCCACGTGGTGTCCAAGATCATAATATATTTTTCCTCTCTACTCTATTCTATTCAAACTGGTTGTTCGGGAGTTGTTTAACGGCTATTTGGAAACGTGAGCTTTGTGCTCTCTCTGACTTTCCCCCAAAACCCAAAAAAAAAAAAAAAAAAACACTTTCTTATATTTATTTTTTGAAACTTCCTCACACAATTTTGATTTTCAAAAATTCTCTTAAAATTACTAATTAGATCATAATAATTTGCTAGTATATATATATATACCTATATTGTAATTTTCACCGATTTTGATATTTAATTCTCATGATAGAAATAGTTGGGCAGCCTTTCCTACCCAAATTTTTGTCCTTGTTAATTCCTTCCACTCTATATGTTTGTTGAATTTCGTCACTGACAATCCAACAACGCTAATTCTCTCTTTCTGTCCATCCCCATCCTCTCTCCTCTGTCTCTATGTAATAGCTCTATCTATCTATCTATCTATCTATCTATCTATCTATCAAATCAGTCTTGTTTTAGAGAGAGAGAGAGATGGCAGGCATTGCTGGTACTTGTTCTTCTAGTTTGGTCTTGAAAGCCAAAGAATCAAGCAACAATGGAGCTTCTCTGCTTCAATACAATGGACTCAGAGCAGTTGAAAGCAAGCAAGTGCCTTCAGCTGGGTGTAGGCCAAATGGGTTCATTTCTACTTCAGGTTTGATCATCCTTTCCCTTCCCAATTCTTGATTATGTATCATTGTGCTGGTAGTACTCAAATCTCTTTACAACACTTTGTTCACATGTTCTTCAATTCACTAGACATTGCTGTCAAATTGCCCATAGGATTCATTGCTTCGATATTGCTGATGGTTAAGAGAGGCTGGTCTTGAAATGAGATTAAAAATCTCTATTTTGTACATTGTAATAAAGAAAATGAGCAATAAACACGATCAATCTCGTTCTGAAAATACACCCTTTTCTGTGTGTTTATTGATTTCACTGAATTTCTAAGCCTTGTACAGGAATCTTGACCTCTCTGTTTGAGAATAAGTTCTATTTTTCTTGTGTCTTTTTCTATATCAATCTTCTTCGTGATTTATCATTGGTTGAGAAAAAAAAGTTTCACAATTTGTTACTGTTAGATAGCTTGACATGCATTGTTGGACTCATTTGCTAGCAACTTAAGCTTTTGGACTTAACATGTATTAGAGCTCAAGTTGAGAGTGGTTCTAGGTTCAAATCTCTCCATTGGCATTTTGTACTCTTTCTCCGTTTGGTTTCTTCTTTGTTTGGTAGTTTGGTTCTCTGTTTGCGTGATATACATTGTTGAGCCCATTCTCTAACAGCTTAAGCATTTGGAAAAATTGGTGACTTTATGTTGTGTTTGGTTGAGGAATTTGAGGAGGGATTTGGAAAGAAAAATGGAAAAAGTAGGTGAAATATGAATAAAATATGCCTAAATTTCACATAGTTTCACACACTTTTTCCCTTTTCCTTTCCAAATTCCTTCCCAAATCCTCCAACCAAACACACCATTAGTTTTTGGAAAAATTGGCTACTTAACAGTCGTAACAATTTCAACATCTGTTATGTTTTGTTTTCCACTTTTAGGAATTGCAATAACTCACCATCTGCATAGGTGTGTTGGGATCTGGGATCCCGCCCAAGACCTTATAGAAATCAAAACAAGCAGAAAAACACACCCACACACAAGGAGACACAATATTTTACGTGGTTCGGCCCAATGCCTACGTCCACGGGAGAGTAACCGGTTATCACTATACCAATGAGGAGATTACAGAAAGATTACAATAGAGGAGGAGCTCACACTCTCCTCACTCAGCCACTCACCCGTCTCCCTCGCTCACACCGAGAGAGACGGTCTCTCCGCCTCACATCTCTCACTCTCTTTGTTGTCTCACGGTTTGCTCACATTTTGCTCTCTCCTCTCAACCTCCATTTATAGGTGAGGGAGTAGGTGGGAGAGCCTTTGGGCAGCCTCCATCCTTGACTCTTCAAGATGGTTGGTGGCCGCCAAGGTGGACTTTGGTTGGTTGCCTTCCCATTGTTGCCAACCAAACTTGACTTGGATGATCACCCCTTTTCACACATGGGTGAATTCAACAGGTGGACTCCATCAAAAAATGTATTTAGTTCCGGCAGGCCATCACCCTTGGTCCCTTCTCTAATACCCTCCTCTGTCTATTTATACACACACATACATCTAGGTCATGTTTATTTGGGTAGACATGAGTTTGGGATTGGACTAATAGTCCAATAAAATTATTAATCTGATGTTTGGTTAAACAATTGAAATACGGACTAATAATCCATCCGTATATAGTATCCCACATATGATAGACTATTAATCTCACAGGGGGTGTGATATAAATTGAAAGACTAAGCTAAAGTCTGAACTATTAGTCCCTTCTTATAATCCTAATTCAATCCAAACATGGGATAGGATACACAATCCAAAGAGAAAAAAAACTGAAATCGATCGTCACCATCGACGGTTTGGGTTTTGATCACCGTCGAAGGCACAATGACGATGGGGGATGGGGACGACGACGGACCATTATCGTCACGCAGTCGATCATGACTCTAAGGTTTTAGATCGCGATCATCATACAGTCGACGATTAGGGTTTCGATCATCAACGTGATGGTGGTGGTGAAGAGAGAGCGAAGAGAGAGAGGGAGAGAAGAAAGCTCTAGTTCGTGAGTATGAGAGAAAGAGAGAGAGCACTGGTTCGCAAGAGAGAGAGAGAGAATGAACAGTGAACGAACCAGAGCTCGCCGGAAATCGCCTCTCGTTGGAAATCGCCTCTCTCTCTCTCTCTCTCTCTCTCTGAGAATGAACAGTGATTATTTTTGTATTTTATATAATGGTAATTATATAATACTTCAAATGAATAAAGGGCATTTAAGTAATTTTGCCCCCTCAAGTTTAACTTCCCACTTAAACTGAATGAATAAGCACCCTAGAAGCCACTCAGTCAAAAATCATTTTTTTGGCTTAATTTAAGCTACAAAAAGTGATTTTAAACTCTACTAAACACATCAATTGTAGCTGAAATTCAATTAAGAGTTAAAATAAGTAGCTTTTAAACTGTACCAAACAAGACCTATATCAGGTGATTATGATTAGTTAAAAGGTTAAGATTTACAGTATTATGTTAAATAATTAGAGAACTAGCATAAAGAATTGTGATTGGTCCAGGCAAATCCACGTGGTGTCCAAGACCATAATATAATTTTTCCTCTCTACTCTATTCTATTCAAACTGGTTGTTCGGGAGTTGTTTAACGGCTATTTGGAAGCGTGAGCTTTGTGCTCTCTCTGACTTTCCCCCAAAACCCAAAAAAAAAAAAAAAAAAAACACTTTCTTATATTTATTTTTTGAAACTTCCTCACACAATTTTGATTTTCAAAAATTCTCTTATACTGTGTTTGGTTGAGAGATTTGGGGAGGAATTTAGAAAGAAAAAGGAAAAAGATGTGTGAAATTAGGTAAAATATAGGCATGTTTTATTCACATTTCACCTACCTTTTCCATTTCCCTTTTCAAATCCCTCTCTAAATCTCCCAACCAAACACAGCATTAAAATTACTAATTAGATCATAATAATTTGCTAGTATATATATATATATACCTATATTGTAATTTTCACCGATTTTGATATTTAATTCTCATGATAGAGATAGTTGGGCAGCCTTTCCTACCCAAATTTTTGTCCTTGTTAATTCCTTCCACTCTATATGTTTGTTGAATTTCGTAACTGACAATCCAACAACGCTAATTCTCTCTCTGTCCATCCCCATCCTCTCTCCTCTGTCTCTATGTAATAGCTCTATCTATCTATCTATCTATCTATCAAATCAGTCTTGTTTTAGAGAGAGAGAGAGAGATGGCAGGCATTGCTGGTACTTGTTCTTCTAGTTTGGTCTTGAAAGCCAAAGAATCAAGCAACAATGGAGCTTCTCTGCTTCAATACAATGGACTCAGAGCAGTTGAAAGCAAGCAAGTGCCTTCAGCTGGGTGTAGGCCAAATGGGTTCATTTCTACTTCAGGTTTGATCATCCTTTCCCTTCCCAATTCTTGATTATGTATCATTGTGCTGGTAGTACTCAAATCTCTTTACAACACTTTGTTCACATGTTCTTCAATTCACTAGACATTGCTGTCAAATTGCCCATAGGATTCATTGCTTCGATATTGCTGATGGTTAAGAGAGGCTGGTCTTGAAATGAGATTAAAAATCTCTATTTTGTACATTGAACAATCAAAAATACAAAGATGATATAGTTGTTGGGATCTGGGATCCCGCCCAAGACCTTATAGAAATCATTGCAAGCAGAAAAACACACCCACACACAAGGAGACAATATTTTACGTGGTTCGGCCCAATGCCTACGTCCACGGGAGAGTAACCGGTTATCACTATACCAATGAGGAGATTACAGAAAGATTACAATAGAGGAGGAGCTCACACTCTCCTCACTCAGCCACTCACCCGTCTCCCTCGCTCACACCGAGGGAGACGGTCTCTCCGCCTCACATCTCTCGCACTCTTTGGTTCACGGTTTTCTTCCTCACTCACACCCTCTCTTTGGCCTCTCCTCTCACCCTCCCTTTATACACATTGGAGTAGGTGGGAGTGCCTTTGGGTAGCCTCCATTCTTGACCCTTGACATGGTTGGTGGCCACCAAGCTTGACTTGGTTGGTTGCCTTCCATTGTTGACCAAGGTGTGTTCCCATGGAAGAGCATCACCTTCTTCACATGGGGTGAATTCAACAAGGTGGTCCTTCAATTCTGATCTGTATTGAAACTACTTCGAGACATTTCTGAGTTTGCTTTTCTTCATTGTTTCCAATAATGGATCTACTCAGTTATTTATGCACACATCTTGTGAGGCATTTATCTTAAACTTGAAATAAGAAATTCAATATTTTATTTAACTTTCGGTTTTCTACTTGATATGTTCTGATTGTAATAGAGTTTCATATTTGCAGCTTCAAAATGCGGAAGGATCAAGGCCATGGCCTCTCCAACTGTTTCAGTTCCCAAACGAGAAAAGGATCCCAAGAAAAGGATTGTCATAACCGGAATGGGCCTTGTATCAGTTTTTGGCAGCGACATTGATACATTTTACAATAAACTTCTTGAGGGAGAAAGTGGGATCACCCTTATTGATAGGTTTGATGCTTCGAGCTTCTCTGTTCGATTTGCCGGTCAGATTCGTGACTTCTCCTCTGAAGGCTACATTGACGGCAAGAATGATCGCCGTCTTGATGACTGCTGGAGGTACTGTTTGGTTGCTGGCAGGAGGGCCCTTGATGATGCCAGGCTTGGACCTGAAGTCCTTGAAACTGTTAGTCCCATACTAACCATTAAATTGGCAATATGTATTTCACCTAAAATAAAATGAAATATTTCAAACACTAAAGTTCCTCACCTGTATATTGCAGATGGACAGATCAAAAATAGGAGTTCTAGTGGGGTCAGGCATGGGAGGTTTGACAGCTTTCAGCAATGGGGTTGAGGCTCTTCTCCAGAAGGGATATAAGAAGATAACTCCATTTTTTATTCCTTATTCAATCACTAACATGGGTTCAGCATTATTAGCTATAGATACCGGATTAATGGGACCCAATTACTCGATTTCAACAGCCTGTGCAACTGCAAACTACTGCTTTTACGCAGCTGCAAATCACATTAGAAGAGGTGAAGCGGATATTATGGTTGCTGGTGGGACCGAGGCTGCAGTCATGGCTACTGGGGTTGGTGGCTTTATTGCTTGTCGAGCATTGTCTCAAAGGAATGATGAACCCCATAAAGCTTCAAGGCCGTGGGATAAAGATCGTGATGGTTTTGTCATTGGAGAAGGCTCTGGTGTTCTGGTAATCTAGTACTTCATCTGATTTTGTCATTTGATACTTGGTTCTGATGACATTGTGACTTGGCCTATTTGTGTTAATATGTCTTATTATTTTAGGTTAGGGAAAACTACATTTTACCCCATTGATCTTTTGATTTGTTTCAATGTCAACCTTCTATTAACATTTTGCCCACGAAAGCGGACAAAACAATGGCATGTGAGCTGCTCATACCAATTTTATTGCCAAATTGCTCGTTCAAGAGCTAATTTATTTACATAATCTGAGAGATATTTATATATCTTCCATTCTCCTATGAAGAAATATGTGAGAAAAAATATATGCACATGACAAATATTACATATCTATCACATATATGTATAAAATCACCTCTTAAATAAACATTTTTGGTCATAAAATTGGCATGTACAATTCATATGCTACTTTTTCATTCTGTTTTCATAGCAAAATGTTAACAGAAGATTGAGTTCAAACAAATCAAAAGATTAGGGGGTAAATTGCAGCATTTTTTAGTTGAAAGGGGCAAAGTAACAACGGTTTATAGTTGAGGGGAGTAAAGTGTAATTTTTCCTCTAATTTATTTTGTCTTCCAAATTTATAAATATTTGTTTGTGTTGATTGAGGAAAGATTATGGAGAGCTTAGAGCATGCAATGAAAAGAGGAGCCAATATAATTGCAGAGTACTTGGGAGGTGCCATAACGTGTGATGCTCATCACATGACTGATCCTCGGTCAGATGGCCTTGGAGTTTCATCATGTATATCCAAGGCCTTGGAAGATGCTGGAGTCTCCCCGGAGGAGGTAAGAGTGCCTTATTGTGATCTCTTGACCTAAAAACAAGCATATTTTTCAGTCACAATGTGATAAATCGTAGATTCTGATGCAAACAATCTTGAATTCATAATTTGCAGGTGAATTATGTTAATGCCCACGCAACATCAACACTTGCTGGGGATTTGGCAGAGGTTAATGCTGTCAAGAAAGTCTTTAAGGACACATCTGAGATCAAGATGAATGGGACCAAGGCAAGAAACCCAAATCTTATAAGCATATTGAAATTTAAAAAATGCAATTGCGTGACAAAATTTTATTTTGACCACATTGATTGAATGTTGAACTAAATATTGTGAATTAGAATCTTCTGTAACATAAGGTCCAACTAATCATATGGGTACTAGAACATTATAACTGAATAGATTGAGTTTCTTATTTCATTGTTTTCAGTCAATGATTGGACACGGGCTTGGAGCTTCTGGTGGATTGGAAGCCATAGCAACCATAAAAGCAATCACGACTGGGTGGTTGCATCCAACCATTAACCAATATGTACTACACAAAAACCCTATTCTCCAATTACGCAACATTTTCTTTGTTTCATTGTTTTTATGGTGTATTTCATGTCTCCATATTGCTTTCTTTATATTAATTTGCAGAACTTGGAGCCTGAGGTCACAATCGACAGTGTTCCAAATGTGAAGAAAAAGCATGAAGTGAATGTTGGTACGTGTATCTGCGTTCAATGCTTAAACGAAACAAAGAAACTTCGATTAATTGCATGTGCTTGGAAATTTTCTATATGCAAGACAAACAACAAACTATACCTGCTTGTGTTGTTTATTTATTTTTTAAACCATGGCAATGAGTTTAGTAACATCCATTCCACCATTCTCTAATCAAAATTTCATATTTAATGCAGCTATCTCCAACTCATTTGGCTTCGGTGGGCATAACTCAGTGGTTGCTTTCACACCCTTCAGGCCCTGAATTAAGCTTAATCAAAGTAGCTTCTTCCGTTACCTATTTTTTTTCCTTTAGGAAAGATTGATTTTGAAATCATATAATTGTCCAAATCAGAATAGATCATTTATGTTGTAATCAGTCTAAGCATAACATAAAGAATTTGATTATCAGAATTGTTTATGCTCCTGTATTGAGTCGTGGTATCGATGTAGCTTCTTTTATCAGTTTCCTTCCAAGTTCCAACCAATAATATATTTGATGAGATCAGATTCACAATCTGTCAATGAATAAACTTTTGTCTTGCCATTTTCTTGATACCTTCTTATCTATATTGTGTTGAAATCACCTATGAGTTTTGAGCAAGGAACAAAAAGTGTAAAGTGATATGAATCACGGAATTGAGATTGCAATAATGTTTTTTTTTTTGGTTTTAAATATACTAAGAGCATCGATACTTGACAAGTTAAATATGTTTGTTAAAGTGTGTGATATGATAGAAAGTGATAAAAATGGGGTTTAATTGTATGTGTTAGGCGTTTATTAATTTGGAAAGTAGTTGCTCAAATAGAGAAATGACAGTGTATGTTAAAATGTGTGTTATTTAAGGCTGAAGCATTGAAGGAATAAACAAACAATGAGTTGACTAAAAAGTTGGAAAAATAGAACAAGAAAATCTCCAAGCTCTATGTATTTCCCAATGTTTTAATGTCCTTGACCTGCCCCAAGGTAATTAACTAACGTGTGAAAGGATTTGTTGTAATTTTTTCTACTAAGAATAAAAAGATGTACAACTAGTAAAAATGAGAGTTATTCTTTTTTTTTTTTTATGGGTAATAAAAAAAAAAAGAATTTTTTTGAGAGAATTATTTATTTTCTTCTCATTTTTCTAACCCAACTCAAAACATAAATAACAAAATAAAATAAAAAAAATTGTAAGGCAAAATTACTAATCCGTTCAATTTGTTGTAATTAATATCCAATAAATCTTGAGTGAAATTCTTATGAACAAATTAGTCTTAAAATTTATGCTTTTTGCAGTTGAGAATCGTTAAAAAAAACAATGAATTTGTAGTGAGAAACATTGTGAGTTGAAAATTGTGAGTCAGACAATTGAATTATGAGGGTAAAACCAGAAGCACAAGTCTATTAATCAGGAGCAACACTTGGGAAATTCTATTTCTACACACTTAATTAGCTCAAGGTACATCTTTTCTCAATACACATACCTATTAATTTGATTATCAATTAATTTTCTCAATCCACACACTTAAAGTTATAATTACACCTTTCATATATAACCATTGTACACACACTACTAATTCTCTTTCCATACACTTTTGATTGACCCTACTTCTACATTGACCCACCCACGCCCTTGAAAAAGACTTTGGTCTGAAGTGAAATTTTCTCCATTGAAGACTTGTATAGAAATTCTCTATTGAATCTCCATTGCAGACCATTGTAAATCCTCCAAATAAGTGTTGAAGGTAAGAAATCTTTTCATTTTCTTATTACATTTATCAATTTGTTATTGCATTTATTATTTTCGGATCTATGTGCACTCCATTGGCATAAAATCTTCAATTTCGATCTTGTGAGTGACAGTTTGGGGCTTTTAGCACTGGGTTTCTGAAAAATTAGATTGAATTCAGAACATAACTACCGAATAAATTGTATTATTTCGACAAATTACTTCTCAAAAAAAATATATACTGATTATTAGTTTCCAAATTTGATGAATTTCTTCAATTTTGTATTTATCTGCTCTTAACTCTCTCATTTGGTTGTAAATATATGAAATAAAATACCTGAGAAAAAATTGAGTGAAGAAATGTGGAACCATATGTTAATGATCAAAAGCAAACAGTGCTATATACTAGTATTTAAGATTGGTACTCTCTTTCTGTCTCTCTCTCTCAGTCTTCTCTTTTGGTTAGTAACTTTGATAGAACTCTGGTTGTTGCTTAGTTAAAGATTTTGTGAAAGAAGATATACTTAGTAAGAATTTTTTGTAGGTTTTTTTTTTTTTTTAGGTGGTCTTTTTTGTGATTGTATTATTGGGCCACTAGTCCCATTGAAATGCCAGTCAGTTATATGGGGTTTCAAATCAAAATTTATATTTCTTACTGTGTTCTTCATCACTGAATAAAATGGAGCAGGGTTTTCGATTGGATTGTTTGTTCAAGACTTCCTCTATGTGTTCTTCATCACTGAACAAAATGGAGCAGAATTTTCAATTGAATTGTTTGTTCAAGCAAAGTCACAACAATAGAAAAATTAAAATTTAATGTTTTTTAAATCAAAAGCTGTACATTGATATTTTTTTTGTTCTTAAAAGATGTGTACAGAGAATTTTTTCATATTATATTATGAGTGTTATTGGATGTCTATTATGATTATTTTTATTTATGATATAATTGTCATTAAATTAATATTTTATTAAATGTGTACCTTAAATTAATTAAGTGTGAAAATAAAATCTCTCGCAAGTATTGAGCCCATCTATAAGACCCGCACCAAAGTTCTATTTTTTTTTTTATTGCTTTATGGTTGGATCTAGACTTATAGAGTTGGGACTTAGATGTGGCCCAGTATTAATTGGGCTGATAGACTGTGTCTCACTGGGCTTCCAGTGCCACAGAAGAGAGTACGAAACAGCTCAAGAAATAGATGGTGGTTATGATGTGACAAACCCTCGTGTACCACAAATTATTTGGTGGTTGTGGAGCATGGTGATGTAGTGTTTTAGGTGTATGGTGATTGATAGAGAGAGTTTAACTCGTGATTTTGTATTGAGTATTGAGAAATAATAGAAAATATGATAATCTGTGATTAATCAAGAATATAATCACGTAATCCCTCTAATTTTTCGTTATGTACCTACAATGTTTAGTAGAAGTACCAGCTCAGGAATGAAAAAATTATGAGTAAATTATTAAGGAAAATGTTTATGATGGTCTAATGAGCAGTTATTAATCTCCATGTATATGTACTGATATTCTGAAAAACAGGTTTCGTTTGGTAATTAGTTAAATTAATTGAAAGGTTAAAAATTACTAGCAAAGTCAAAAAGTGGAGTAAAAAAATAAAAGATAATTCATTAATTTTGAAAAAAAATAACATCATTATCCCTTTTACACTTAAATTTATAATTTACATTGTTAATTTTTATATTTTCATACTATATATATTAGCTTCAGTCACTTTTGGCCTTACTAAAATAGTATTGGTGTAATTATATCAAAATTATAAAATTGAACTGTATTTTTTTAAATTTCAGAAGATCAATGTAATTTACACAAATAATTTATGATACAAAGGGCCCGTTTGGTAGAGCTGTGGGAAAGTGATTATAACTTATAACCTAACAACTTATAGCTTATAGTGCTGAACATAAGTTGATTTTTGGCTTATAAATTAAACTTCTCCTCCCCCACTCAAAGAATAAGTTGATTTTTGACTTACAAAAAGTTATAAGCGGTATTGTTAAGCTGAACCAAACATATCAAAATAGTTTAAATTAAGTTAAAAATTAAAATAAACTGGAAATAAATATTACCAAACAGGGCCAAAGTACGCCATATTTAATTCTGTAGAGTTAGAAATGGTCGCCACATTAATTTATGTGTCCCCCAATTGATATTGTGAAGTTGATTCATCACCCACCACCCCCATTGACTAGTTTCTCTCTTAGAAGTCCTTTGCAGATCTGCATATATGAATTCAATGCAGCAAGTTAAGGTCGTCGCCAGAATTAAGGGTAAGCAACTATAAGGATACACACACAATATATATATATATATATATATGTTCTTTCTATCTATCTATCTATCTATCTATCTATATCTATACTATTATTAAGTGAAAGTTTAAATTGGTTTAGTAAAACATTTTCCTCTTGATTTATATATGCTAAAATAAAAAAATTATTATATATAGCGCAAACAAGTCTTAAACTCAAAACCTTAGATTTCATTAAGAACATACTTATCACTTAAGCAATATACATACTATATATTAAATTCTTTATTATTTGTCTTTATTGTTAATTATTTGAATTGTACACGCATCACGTGTGTCAACCGCTAATTGTTATATATGTGAGCACTAGACTTGATATCTAAATCTTTGGTGGCTTTTCCTTATGGCACATGTCTCTTATTTTCTATTTAGAAAAAAAAAAAAATTTAAATAAACAAGACTTGAACCTTTTGACTCTTCAAATTTTGCAAAGAATCCACTTTGAAGTTTCAGCATCCAAGCGTCGCCATCAATAATTAGTACTGCAGCAGAAGAAGACAAAATCCGTAGAAGATAAGGCTCCTCTTCAATGCACGCCAAGAAAAGACAAAAGATTTTGTAGATATTTGTGTATGTAATTATTTAAGTCGGTCAGTAATAAAGATTTTTCTTTACTCACTACTTTAATAGAGCAGATGAACCCCACCCTGCTCCATTATAGAAAAGCTGTGAAAATCTTTACACGTGTCTTATAATAAATTATAGTGTCAAAATTTTGTCAAAAATGGAGGAATGAATGATGTGCGATGGGGCCCAAAGCAGTACCCGGCATCATTATCCAAACCCTCTATTTGTTTTTATCCGTGTAGAAAAATCGTCAATATAGGCATATAATTGTATCCTTATAGCCTTGTCTTTATTAAGTGGTGAAAAAGCATACCTAAGTCTAGGCTTATTGGTTTTGAATTTAGGGAAAGTCTAGACGTAGAACATAGATTGAAGTTTTTATTTTTATCTTTCTTTTGAGTTGTATAAATTGGCATTCATGCCAACGGAAGAGGCAGAATGAAAAAATTCCCCTTCACTCTGCTTTATAAAAATATCCAACCCCTCTAAGTGTACTAAGTCTTTTAGAATTTCAGATTCTGTAATATAATCTTTGTAAGTATATTTCTTATTAATATGAAGTGTGAGTAGTTTCTCTTTTTCCTTAAATATTTCAAAAGGGTAACTCTTCTGTTCTAAAAATTTATTTTCTTTTTGGAAAAATTAAGTTTATGGAATGCTTGTTTGCTCATTAATATTACATGCTTTGCACCTTCGTAGTATCTGTTGTTTTCTATTTTATTACTGAGTGACCTTAACTGAAGAGCCCGTATGAGCCGTGGTTACGCGTTGGAGGGCAAATTGTAGGCAAAGAGGGAAGGTAAAAAATAGAAAATAAAAATATACTATTTTGAACGAGACTTAACTTCAAGGTGGGAGTACATGTAATGAAAACAAACATTACCTAAAAATAGTTTTGCCATAGAAAAGAATTTTAGAATACAATAAGAGCAACTCGAGTAGAAATATTAAGGAAATATTGTTCATAAAAGAATTTAAAAAAATCAAAATTGTATGCCTTTAGATGAAGAACTTAGGATTAAAATCAGAACCAGTACTGAGCTTATACAAGAATTAGAAGATAAAAATTAAGGTATCAATTTCTTTTATCATTAGAATCTAGCAGATCCCTAGAAAATTACAGTTTAAAAATTTCTCAAATAAATAGACAGCTAACTGTAAAACAAGAAACCTTAAAGTTAGCCATACAACAGCTTGAAGACCTATTAGCATAACTGTATAATTAATTAGATAATTCTCAGTCCAATTTCAAAATAGTGGTAGACCATTAACTCATCACCCCCCAAAATTGATATCAGAGCAGTGTTCGGTTTTAGGACAATTTTAGTTAGTTTATGCATTTTGCTTATGGTAATAGAGTAGTTTTTATTTTTGGACATTTCAGTTATAAATTTCATGTTATAGTAGCTTGTAATAATTTTAAAGTAGGAATTAATTTTGTGTATGAAAAGAGTAGAATATTTAGATATAGAGCTCAGCAGTTATAATCATCGTCTTAGCATAGATAAAAACAAATTTCGTTGTAATTTTGAAGGTACTTTTACACATCAGCTTCATAATGAACATAATCCTCAGTTAAATAGTATCATAGATTATCAGATTAATTTTGTAAAAAATATTAAAAAGGACATAGATAAAATTAATAATTTTTTTATTTCATCTATAGATCATCTCCGTAATAATCGTAGTATAATTAAAGATCAAGATAAAAAATTAGATTATATCTCAGACCAGTGTAGTTCAATCTTACAAAAACAAACAGATTTAAATTTAGAAAAAATTCCCACTAAGCTAGAAATAGAAGCTTTAATTTTAGCTATAAATATTAACAGCTCAAAACAAATAGAGTTAGAATTTAAACAACTAATTGAACAAACTCATAGCTAGATAAATCAAATAGCTAAACAAATAGAACAAATCAACCAAATTCAAGATAATTTAAAACAGAAATTAGAAATTTTAGAACAACTAATAAGATCTTAGTTTATGAGTAGTGATAAAAAGGCTAATAGCGATTACCAGATTATTTTAAAACAAGCAGAAGATTTTCATAATAACCCAGAAGGAATCAGTAGCTATCAAGGAATAAACCAATCAGATAAAATATCAGTAAGACAAAATAATATAGAAATTTTATTTCTAATTAGATTGTGTGAAAAAATTGAAGAACTATCAGAACAACTACACAGCTTAGAAAATCGTTTAGCTTCTTTAGAAAGAATAATACTTCAAAAAGGAAAAGGAATAGAAGGACAAGTAAACAAACCCCAATCTCAGATAAACGAAGAAGATATTGCTAGATATTTTGAAAAGCTTAAATTACCAAGGAACACTACAACATATAAGACTTTTGGTGACCAATTATTTTGGTCCCTAAAACCATTATTTTGGTCTCTAAATGATTTTTGTGACAAAATTAAATTCGTCACTAAAAAAGTCACTAAAAGTGCGTTTAGAAAAGTCTTTAGCGACGAATTTTTTAAAATGTCGCTAAAAATGACAATTAGCGACCAATTTTATAATGTCACAAAATGTTTGATTTTGTAAAACTAAAATATTTCGTCGCTAATACTTTGTCACAAAATGTCTCTATTTGGTCGCAAAAAGCAAAATAGTGACATTTTTAACAACAAATATATTTGGTCGCTAAAGGTTTGAAATAACATTTTGAAAACATTCAATTTCATAGCTACAAATTGACATCCACAGCCCAAATCTATCTCTGTATATAAAAAAAAAATAAGATAAAAAAAACGAGATCAAATCTTGCACACAAGATTAAATTTATTCTTGTATATACAAAAAAAAAAATTACAAAAATCAAAACTCTAAGCATCCAAATTCACTTCAACATAGTTCATTACATGAGTTAAATCCCAAAACAAGATCAAAATAGTTCAACATTGTATGAGTTAGAACTCTATGACGACTTCAACTTTGTCTTTCTCTCGCACCACCTCTTCACAAGTTCAGTTACAAGAGCAACATGCCCTAAACAATTAGTTGTTTCACGATCATAAAAGCTTATCACCGTCTATAGTCATGGAGAAAGGATGAAAATCCTGCACACATGATCATAATCAGAAGTGTAAACAAAGTTCAAAAATGTAAAACAGATGTAGATGAAATCCAAAAATGGATATCAGCCTTGAAGAACTTAACTAAGGCATTTAAAGCAAATAAAAGCTCAGATTTTTGAGGCAAATTGAAAGAAAAATATTTAAAAGAAAATTATTTGACTTCTATTACAAGTGTAGCATTATCAGCAACCCAAGTACAAGCAGCCTACACAAGAGCTGTAGCCTCAGCACAAGTGTGTGCAACTGCATTACAAGTGTGTTCAACAATTAAATCTAATTTGTAGCATATGCAAAGGTATTAACTTATATTATCAATTTTAGCATGTATTTTATAAGGAATAATTTTAATATTTAAAATTCAAAACATTACTTGGTACGTCTTATCATCCCATAATTGACACATGTATCGCCACAGCTCTTTTTCGATATTCTTCATGTGGGTTTACAAGGGCTGATTCCAAAATTAATATGGTTTCATCATATCACCAAAAAGAAAGCAACATAATGATTTTAATTTATGCAAAAAGGATTTAAATTTATTACCGACTAGGCAATTCAGGATATATAGTACTCCCTCCACTTAAAGTTATGTGCTGGTAGAGCTGTGAAAAACAAAACAAATAAGGGGTTAAAAGATACTTGAAAATAAATTCAAATACATTACAAAGTGTATATTGTACAAGGCATGAAGTGGTCACATGGTATAGAAAAATCTATATAGCAAGACAAGTGTATCTTCATCAAAGTTGTAGGATATATATGTCATTGTTATAACTATTTAGATTGATAACACTAAATTCTTTTAAGTAAGAAACTATAAGAATTATTGCTTACAAAATGACCTACATACCATCATCCGATTATTAATGTCCATTTCCTGAATACAATGAAATACCATGTCAGCCATTCCATCACCTTCGATGTCTATGAGTTCCCGCAAGAAGAAAGCAATTCAAACTTCTACAAATTTCAACCTATGAAAGTATTATTAAAACTATGTAACCTCATAGATCTAAAAATACTTTACTGAAATTAGTATTCTACATGTTGAGAATGCTCCAACAATGTTATAGTTCATAGAAAACTCCACCAAAAATACTGATTCATAAAATGAATGAATCTGATAGGGCTCAAGATCAGCTATAGTTGTAGGAAGGCTTGTTAGAAGCTCATATACAAATGGTTCGCTTTCTCTAATCTGGAAACAATAGAAGAAAAGCATGACACATTCAAAGTTATATCCAATATGGAAAATTGACATATGACCAACAAGATTAAAATAATGTTACCTGTACAATAACAAATTTACGCTTGTACTTCTGAACAACTTTCAAGAATGTGTTGCAAGCCATATCCTGAAAGAATTATCACACACAAATTTTAAATAGTAATTTACGTTTCTAAGATTAAAAGGAAAAATGCTGGCCATAGATGATGAACAAGACAGGAATGACCTATGTAACATGTCTTCTTTTATTTCTTTTTGTCCACTTTATTTCTTTTTTCTTTTCCTTGGAAAATCTATAAATCCAATATCCAAACATAATATAAACACCAACAAAACAAATAAGAAACATTGTCCAGTGATTGGACTCCCAAGTAAATCAGGATTCCAGAGAGTAATTCACAAACAATTGGAAAGTTTTCTCACCATTTCCAATAGAATTAACAAAAACATAATTCCTCTAAAAAAACAACCATCACATGCTACGTAGAAAACAAGTTTAAAAAAACAACCAATCGATGTCTTCAAAGTAGCATAAATCTGCAAAAAATAAAGAAGAAGATGAAGAATCAACCTTTAGAAAATAACAAACAGAAAAAAATCCTTGTCAATAACAAACAAACAGGCACAAACAGAAAGAGTTGTATGAACATAATTTCATTCGAATTTTAGGCTGGTAGATAAGATTAGATATATGATGCGTAATTAGTACATCAAATAATTTAAATGAAGTGAACATAAGAATATGCCTCTGTTTATTAATGGATTCCAAGTATCATTGTCAATAATAGCTCCACTGAATTGACTAACCGATAGATGAACAAGTAACAACATGAAGTAGATAAGCCACCAACCCTCCAGCAAGTGATAGGAGTTTACATACTGAGTAGCAACCACAGAGATAAAAAATCCTTTAAATGACTGACAAGTTTTAATAAGAGAAAAAAGAAGAACTGTTCATGTATGTTCAACTGCTACAGTAGCCCAAGACTTATGTGATCGCTGCTTTATCAACTCAAGTAATCACCAAGTAGAATTGGCATGTGGCTAGTAGGTGTAACTATGTGTGTTGTTTTCTTTCTTGGGAGAGAGACAAAGGTAGCAAAAGGCAAAACAAGAAAAAAAAGGAAAAGAAGAGGAAGAAATAAAAGAAAATCATATTATAAAATTGACAAAGGATCCCTTGATGGGCCTTGGCAATGATCCTTCTGGTGGCAGAAACTGATTTATACATCAATTTCACATTTTTCTAGTTTTTCTTAGTGAATACAACCTTACCTACTAAAAATAAAAAAATAGAGAACTACTAATAATTGCAAAAGTTGTCCTAAAAAAGTTACAGTTCGGTTGATAGTGTTACCAAAGATGGGCAAATGGATGTAAAAAGGGATCCCATAGCATAAATAATGCAGTCAACAGACCTCAATTGGTCCAGGACAGTTGGATTTACATTGGAAAAAACCTATTCGATAGAAAGCAGACATTATTCACACAGCAGACAAAAGAAATCACAGATATACTAACATGAAATTTTATAATCATGCAATATCAGAATATCAGATATACTGAAACAAAAATCCACATATACATCCAAACATCTAATATTCGCACACAATTCATGCAAAGTACACATCATCCAAGTAGCAAGTTGAGGCAAGAGTGTATTGCGTCTACATGGACAATTTACTTCAATTGAATATAAAGGAAGACAAAAAATTTATGACCTGTTTAGAGATAGGATATAGAGATTCCAAAAAATGCCAGTAACTTTGCTTCCTCTAGGACTTCTTCTCTACAATTGCATCATGTACATACATTGTGAGATACCATCAAATTAACACACAGAGAGTGAGAGAGAGATTGAAAACACACCAAATCGTTATTGAATCCAAATTACTGTGATCTCTGTTAGAAACCAAATCGATTTACTCAAACTTATATATATCTGCAAAAAAAATTGAAGAAGATGAAGAATAAATTATATAAGATCTCAGAATATATGTGTATATATATATGTGTGTGTGTGTGTGTGTGAAGCTAAAAAAAATGATAGAAAATCTCAGAAAATTGTGCATCAAGATGAAGATCTTAGCAACCCTGAAAATCATTGATTTACCTTCCGATTGAAGCCGGATCTTCAACGATCGATTTGAATTGAAGCTGAGATCAGTAGCTAAGATCTTAATCGACTTGGATTAAAGTTACAATAGGTAAGATCGATTGAAGCTGAGATCAATACAAAGATTGATTCGGATTGAAGTGAAGATCGATTCTGATATGAGGCGGCACAAAGATTGATTCGGATTGAAGCTAAAGATCAATCGAAGTTGAAGATCGATTGAGTCCTAGACAGAAGAAATAGTTGAGATCGAGAGTCCTAGTGAAGATCGATTCTGATATCGCGTATTTGACAACCTTTAGCAACAGAGGAAATAGCTAAGATTGATTGAGTCCTAGTGAAGATCAATTCTATATCGCGTATTTGACAACCTTTAGCAACCAAATTAATTGGTCTCCAGCTTTTACCAACCTCACAGACGCACGGGTGTGAGGGAAGTGTCGAAATGAACGTACGTGTTAATTTTTTGGTCCCTAAAAGTCTCTAAATAATTTTTTTTTGGCCTATTCTAAAAGAATATGGTGTGTTTGTATAATTTTTCCTTAAAGTTTATTTTTGTCCCTAAATGATAGTTTTTAGAGACTAAATTCAATTAGTCCCTAAATATTAGTCTCTAAATCATTATTTTCTTGTAGTGGAAACCCGTTTGTAGAACTTATAGAAAATAAAAATGTTTAAACAACTAATAAAAGGAAGAGTAGCAAAAAGCGTAATGAGGATGAAGATATTAAAATGGAAGAATTTATAGACGTAGAACAACAAATAGAAAATTTAAGAAGGAGAAGTTAGAATTAATTCTAACTAAATATGTATATAAGTTAAGAAAAATTCATAAAAAACAATATCTATTTAAACACTACGGTGAACAAATGATTAGTGTAACCCAAGAAGATGAAAAAATATAGCTAAATTTAATAGATAGAGAAAGCTATAAATATGCAGTAAATGAACACCTTAAAATGACCCACTTAGGATTAGTTGTAGTAGGAGTTAAGGTTTTAACTAGAGAAAATTTATGAACTAAAGTTTTTGTATGTCTTTATAATGATAGGTTTAATGATGTAGGACAAAGTATTTTAGCCAGCTATGAATCAGATATGAATTCAAAATGAGGAATAGTTTATTTTACACCAAATTTCTTACTACCAACCTCAACCTTTCATAAAAAGATAAAAATAGGAATAAAAAGTAGGGGATACAAAATGAAAAAAGGAGAAATAGTTTGCACAGGATTTTTAGGCTTAGCAGTCTCAGAAAGTAATACTCATTATAGACTTACAAATGATCAGATAGTTAAGTTATTAGGCGCAAAAGGAATAACTACCAGCTAAAAAATTTAATTCTGAAGATAATGTAGCACTAGATTGGAATTTAGGAGATTTTCTAGGACAAAAAAGGTTAGCCCCTCAAGATAATTTATTATATCAAAGAACAGATAGAAGCTATGCAGTAAGATTTACTCAGTATACTTATGTAGCACCAGAAAAATCTGAAGATGATGAATTTAGTAGTATAGATAGGGAAGAAAATCAAGATAATCGTAGTGAAATAAATCAGCTTTATGTAATGACAGAGGAAAAAACAATATCACAAAATAAAATATATAATATTGATGAGATAGATTTAGAAAATTTCACCCTAACTGATATGAATAAGATATTAGACACCAGATATTATGAATATTTAGCCAGAGGAGATACCCATGATGAAACAGTATCATTTTTAGACCAAGAATTTCATACTAAATATTTAGATGATATCATAGAAGATAAAATACATCCTAGCAAAATATTTAAAATACCAAAACAATCTAATTTAGAAGATACTTTTTACATGAACACAGAAAGCACCAGTAACCCACAACCAACTGTAAAAGATCCCGTAAAACCAATACAATATGCAGTAGGAGGAAGAAGGACATTAGCAAGTTCAGGACGTAGTAATGCAGACCCGAATAAAAGTTATAGATTTCATGGAAAACGTAAAAAACTAGATATGAGTATACAATTACAGCCAGCTAATAACCAATGAACCCTTTTAGACTTAGCTAGATTCGACCCTCAGATATGGCAAGAAGTAATAGAAAGATGGGAAAAAGATGAGGTAAAGGCATGGATAAGTAATCCCTATGAAACAACTGATATGTGGGAATATATGGAGACACTTTTAGGAGATTCAGCTCTTAATATTTACTTAACATTTAAAGAAGAATATGAGGAGATAATTAGACAACTTAAAGGACTAGGAGATAACCCTTGAAATTTCACTAGCTTTATAAAAGAAATACTTATAGGATATGACCCTTCCAGACGAAATACTTACACCCAAAGCATAACATTAACTGAATTAAATCAGATGACATTAGGAAGTTGGAAATACGTTGTACCCTTTAGCAAAGAATATTTAGCCATAGCAGCCAGAACTGGAAAAAGTTTTGATGAAGAAATAGGAAATAAATATTTTAGAGAATTACCCGGAGAACTAGGAAGAGAAATAGAAATAAATCGTCAATTTATTATGAAACTTACCAGCCCAAATAGCCTCAGGAGAAGTAAAAATAAAAGGAGCCTTAGGAATAGGACCTAGGATAGTTTTTACCTTCCATAGACTTAAAGAAAAATATATAGAAGTTAAAATACAGAAAGATTTGAAAAAACAACATTATGATTTTTGTAGTAGCATAATAAATACAACAAAAAATATGGAAAATATAGAAAAGAAAAATATTGGAAGAAAAAATATAGAAAACCATGAAAAAAACAGAAATTCATTAGAAAGAGTAGAACCTTTAATAGGATAAATTATAAGCGACTACCTAATGAAGAAAAAGATAAAAGAAAACAAAAATATGTTAGAAAACTCAACAGTAAAAAATGCAATTATTTATATGTGAAAAACCCAATCATTTTGCAAAAAACTGCCTCAAAAGACAAAGGCCTAATACTAATAAACAGATATAAAGACTACATATTATAGAAGACTTAGAAGAAGATATAGTTAGCATAAATAGTGATGATTCGGAAGTCTATAGCATAGTCAGTGATTATGAATATCAAATAGAAGCCATAAGTTCAGATAGTAATTCAGAAAGTGATACAGATATAGATAATCTTTTAGGACAACTCAACCAAGAAATAGGAACGACTCCTTCTCATGATACTTTTTTAATGATGGAATGTAATGCAGATACTAAATGTCAGCATAATTTTCAAATAGGACTAGGATTTGATACCACTAGATACAGCTATTGTAATTGGTTTCCAGCTAAAGATAAACGAGCACAATGTTTATTATGCAGTATAACTTATTATATAGTCTGTCTAGAAAAACTAAACATAACACATAAGATAACATTAGAAAATAACAGAGAGGATCATAGTATAGAAAGCAGAGAATTACATTTAACAATTAGAGACTTAGAAAGTAAGGGAACTCAAGTTATAAATACGAGAGATAGCAACAAAGACTAGTTTTGACATAGAATGTCTAGAACTAGAAAATAGACAGCTTAAATAGTAGCTAGAACAATTTCACAATAAATACCCTTTAAAAGATAAACTGATTGAAGAACATATGAATTCTTTAGAATTAGTCAACCTAGTTGATTCTCAACCCTTTAGTCAATACTCTCAAGCACAACCAGATAATACATATTTACCATTTAATTACCCGGTTATACCCAAACCAAATTTAGTTGAAATCTCTTGTGTAATCAAATTTGTAGAAAAGACCCCTAGTATAGATGTCATGATAGGTACAGAAGCCAGTAAATCATATATTGAACAACACATAGTTCCACCAGGATGGAGCATAGCTTTAACGACCCTAGCTTTAGTCAGTATAGCTGATGGCACTAAACAGACATATACGCATTGCATTAATGGCGCATAGATTAGTTTTCATCATCTAGGCTCTTAAGATCAGCATAAAGAATGGTTCCCATTACCTCAAGTTTGGATTGGGAATACACGACAAAATCATCCTTTCATCTTAGGACTTAACTTCATTCTTAGTCTACAAGGTGGCATGTTTATCAGCCAACACAACATTAATTTCTTCAAGCGAACTGTACATACACCAACAGCTTATGCCCTTAGCACCATAGCCCTTTCATCAGAGTTGCGTACGAAGTGTGGTGGTACAATAGGAGTAGATTCAATTCCTGCTAGTTTTTTATTTCCTAGTAGAAATATTTTTCCCGAGCTAGCCCAAAAGTATATACCTGATGAGATAGCAAACATTTCTTTAGAAAATTTAGACATAGAAAATTATGAATTAGAAGTTTTAGAAAAGTTTAATTTTGAAGATAAGGGAGATTATTGGAACCTAGAAGATTTTCAACAAACAGTTAACCTAAAATTAATTTTTGCAAAAATAGAAAAATTAAAGAAAAAACCAGTATACAGAAGAACATAAAATGATTTAGATGACATAATAAGATTAGCTGAAACAACAGGGATTTTAGGAGAATAGCCCATGAAATATTGGGAAAGAAATAAAGTTTTAGCCAGCTTAGATATAAAAAATAAAGATTATAGGATTACTTCAGCACAAATAGACCATACGCCAGCAGATATAAAAGAATTTAGAACACAGATTAAGGAATTACTAGATTTAGGAGTAATTAGACCTAGTAATAGTCCGCATAGGAGCGCTGCATTTATGGTTAGAAATCATGCAGAGATAAAAAAAAGGAAAAGCTAGAATGGTTATAAATTATAAAAGATTAAATGATAACACAGAAGATGATAAATATAACATACCAGATAAAGATTAGCTCATAAACAGAATACAGACAACAAAAATATTTAGTAAATTTGATTACAAGTCGGGATTTTGGCAAATAAAAATGGAAAAGGAAAGCATACCTTGGACAACCTTTTGTTGCCCACAGGGACATTACGAATGGCTAGTTATGCCTTTTGGACTAAAAATGCACCTTCCATATTTCAGCGTAAGATGGATAGCATATTTAATAAATATAATTTTATACTGGTATACATAGATGACATATTAGTATTCAATCCAGATAAAAATAGTCACATA